ATTTTCCAAATGTTTAGATTTTTTAATCATGGTAAACTAGATGTTCAGTCAATCTGTTGCCTAATTTTGTGAAACGGTTCAGTCATTTTCCGCAATTACTGTAACATAAACACACGATTCCTGGTATGAAATGTATGTGTTCGATCGTGAAGGTCTTCAATGGATAGGGACATAATGTGCAGAGAAGCTGCTATCGTGGGTTCAAACCACAGACAAAACAACAACAGCAGCAAGCAAAACTGTTGAAAGAGGGGCGAGGAGGAAAGGAGCGTATTCATAGGCGTATCCAGTGTGTGTGTGTGTGTGCGTGCGTGCGTGCGTGCGTGCGTGTGTGTGTGTCCTGAAAGTTTATTTATTGACCGTTTAATCTCTCATGAAAACGTGTGAAGATGAACCCCCTCTTTCTCAAACACCTGTATCCTCCCCTGATACTGACCCTGATAGTTTGTTCGTTTGTTGTTTTACGCCGCACTCAACACTATTCCCGGTATATGGCATCACTCTGTGAATAATCGAGTCTGGACCAGACAATCCACTGATCAACAGCATGAGCATTGATCGACGCACTTAGGATAAGATGACAAGTATCAACCAGGTCATCGAGCCTGACCACCCGATCCCGTTAGTTGTCTCTTACGATTGAAGAATTCTAACCTGGATCTTCACGGGTCGGCCATTGTATTGTCTGGTCCAGACTGGGTTATTTACAGAATGTCACGATACAGTGGACAGAGTGAGTGAGTGAGTTTAGTTTTACGCCGCACTCAGCAATATTCCAGCTATATGGCGGCGTTCTGTAAATAATCGAGTCTGGACCAGACAATCCAGTGATCATCATCATGAACATCGATCAGTGGACAGAAGGTCAATAGCCAGGGTTTATGGCTTTAAACGAATGTATCCCATATCTTCTCTCACAATTGCGGATCACTGAAAATGAAAGCAAACGTCAGGAATTTATCATCTTTTAATTTATCTAAGTTTATTCTCACAGTCCACTGCTTATTACGAGCGAAATAGTATTCAATCAAATCAAACGAAATTCACTTTAGGTACCACCAGGATAGAAAACCACATAAACCTATTAATAATACCAGCTGTAATATAATCGCCAAAGCTGGAGAATTTGTGTTCTACCAGCATGACATAATCTTTCTTCTGCAGCACACTACTCAGAGGCCAAGTTATTGTGACATGGATTTGTTTCATTGGTAATCGTATAAATGAAGTTTTGAACCAGGGAAAGAGTGTGTTGAAATGGTCAGAGAAACGCAACCAAACAGTTGATGTTCGAATTTTACAAAATCAGCAAAGATCATGACATATTCGAGAAAAAATACCAGTAATGGCCTCTTGTAAAGGCTAGACAGCCAGAAACATTTTTATTATTATTTCGGGATGCGAACCGCTTTATGATCTGGGGTGTGATAACACCTGCAGCAAGGGCGGCAATGATTTTTGAAACCCGGGAGTGACATCAACGCGGTAACGCCAGACTATACGTGTCTGGCAATGATATTGTCAGAACAATGTTCACGTGTTGCCCTGGTCCACAAGATCCCCTGATTTGTCACCCGCTGAATACATCTTGGGTGAAATGGAGCGACGTTCACGACGTCGTCCAAATCCTCCAGCAACGTTGCATGAACTCCAAATCCTTCCTCGGATATGGAAAGATCTTCCCCAAACATTCCTCGGATATGGAAAGATCTTCCCCCAAGACCTGCTGAACTTCGTTTCTCTTCGGCCATGTTTGTTGTGAGAGAACGCGAAACCGAAACTGCGAAACCTGCCTCGGAGATGGTTTCTGAGTTACAGAACCCAGTTTTAGGTTGCGACATAATCGAGTGCATGGTTTTCCAGAAACCAAAACCGGATTAGCATAATCGAATAGGCCCTGAATCTGTTTGTGTGACACAATAACTTTTGCCTTTGAGTATATCCTAAAGCCTTTCAACACAGTGTTTGTATACTATGATCACACACACTGAAAAGCCACCGATACAGTTTTAATGACTAAAGATCAATTTGCTTGCAACACATAACAAGGGTTCTGACACAAAGGCCTAGCTTACGCTGGAGCACAAAAGTTTGACTTAAAATATTAAACCATCCCATTTGATCGCAACAGCCATGTGTAACATATAGTGAACGAGAATTGTTGTATGCCACACAAAGCCCACGACACGCATACAATCACCAGACATAGTGAAACCATCGACAAAGACTGTAGGGCAACCTGAGATTAGTCTACTCGATTGTCCACGTGTTCAAGGTTGTCATAATGCCATCAAGCCTCATTGATTACAAGCAGTTTAAACATTCACCTCATAGATGAACCATCTACTCGGCGTTTAAATCAATACCACGGGGTCCTACACAATGTACGGTTTTTGAAAATTATTGATTGTGATTTTTTTGTTAAATGGTATTGAGTACCCCAATACAACGTGTTGAAACGAGAAGAGCATTAAGGCATTAGGAAATCTTTATAATTTATATATAACAATTTTTTTATTGTTTGAAATGATTTTGTCTTGAAAGTCTGTGTCTTTTACCTCGTACGCTTAATGTAATCTCTTTTGGCTGAAAATCGAAATTGATGATTCTTTTTGCATTAACGTTTTATATTTACTTGAGCTCGGTCAGTGTTTTTGCAGGTGGATTGAACAATGTGTGAAGCCCGTTTCAGGTGTCCTCATGCCACGTCATTAACTATAGTCATATGGAAAATAGGATGTTCTTTTACCTTTTCAGTAATATAAACTAGTGCTCAAAAGAAACTATACACCGCAAAAAATATTATCTGAATATTCACCAAAATAAAAACTGAAGTGATAAAACCATACTGAGCCATGTCACACACATACAGACCCATCCTTTCTGGGAACACACGTACAGACCCATCCTTTCTGGGAACACACGTACAGACCCATCCTTTCTGGGAACACACGTACAGACCCATCCTTTCTGGGAACACACATACAGACCCATCCTTTCCGGGAACACACATACAGACCCATCCTTTCCCGGAACACACGTACAGACCCATCCTTTCCGGGAACACACATACAGACCCATCCTTTCCGGGAACACACATACAGACCCATCCTTTCCGGGAACACACATACAGACCCATCCTTTCTGGGAACACACGTACAGACCCATCCTTTCCGGGAACACACATACAGACCCATCCTTTCCTGGAACACACATACAGACCCATCCTTTCCATGTCACACACATACAGACCCATCCTTTCCATGTCACACACATACAGACCCATCCTTTCCGGGAACACACATACAGACTCCATCCTTTCCGGGAACAAACGGGGAAACAAGTTAACGAATCGTCTAAACGTACAAAACGGTTTTTTTCTGATGAAATGCACGTGCATACTGATGGCATAAAACAGGCTACGCGACACGCGAGCAACACACTCGTAAAAAGAACACACACAAATATGCCACGTTTGAGGCAAATCCAGAGAAAGAGAGGGCTGTCGGAATAGCCCAACAAGGAGCTAACCACACCGTCATTGCCAGAACCATCGGCTGCATCCGAGCATCTGTCAGACTGATGCATCGACTAACAAACAGGTAATACGTCAGACAGGAATAGGAGTGGTCGACCACATCTGACAACGCCCGGTGATGATCGCCACATCCAGACAATTCATCTGAAAAGTCGTTTTGTAATGGCGACGTCAACGACAGCGACGGCACTAGGACACCGTATCAGTTGACATACAGTGTATCGGCGACTAGAGAACATGGTATTCAAGGACGTCGACCCTTCCGCGGAGTGCATCTATCTCTTCAAAGCCGACGTCGCCACCGAGTTCGACGTTGGCAGAGGTGATGTTCACTTACGAGAGTAGGTTTTGCCTGTACAGTAATGACGACCGGGCTCGTGTTTACAGAGGAATAGGTGAACGTTTAGCACCGATTTGGAGTCTGACCGTTTGGAGCCGAGGTGTGATGGTGTGGGGAGGGATCTGCGGCGATCTCAAAACGAGACTTGTGATTATTCATGGCAGCCTGGATGCTCGAAGATACAGGGATGAAGTTTTGCGACCAGTTGTGTTGCCATTTATCCAGCAACAACCACGTGGCATTGTCTACCAACACGATAACCCAAAGCCTCATACAACAAGACTGACAAACGACTTTCTGCATAACGCTAACGTCGTTGTATTGCCGTGGTCAGCATGTTCTCCCGACATGAATCCGACAGAACACTTATGGGACTACCTGGATCGGCAAATCTGTCACCACCTGTCACCGCTCAAGAACTGGAACAATGTCTCCGACAGGAATGGCAGCGGATCGCGCCTAACGTCATTCGTCGTCTTACGTCATCAAAACGTCGACGTGTTTTGGCGTGTATTGAAGCCAGTGGTGGTCACACTCACTACTGATTCAAGATTTGATGACATTCTGCAAAAAAACATACAACAAAACACGCCTTGTTGATTGTGATTTTGTGCAAAAGTTCAGACTTTGATACCACGTATCGTTTCAGTGTCAGTCAAACGGTACTTTCGACTTTATATGAAACGAAATTGTGTAGAATGTGCTGTAGAATTAAATAGTCTATTGAAATTAAACAGATTTTCATTTATATATGCTTTTCTTTTCTTTCACTGTATACTTTCTTTTGAGCACTAGTTTATATTTAGCTAAAAATAGACGTCCTTTTTCGACAACAGGTTTGTCTTGGAAAGATTTTGACAAAACAACAACTCGGAGAACAATGTTCTGAATATTCCCCAAACATATATATCGCACCTTGGATATGCTAGGAATGTTTGGAAAAATAACATTTTGTGGATATATACATTTTTTCGCTTCTCCTTTTAGAACAGTTTTGCATGGTTTGAAGCACTGATTTAGTCTAAGAAATCCCTATATTGATGTATGGTACTTACAAAAGACGCAGGGCATTGGTAATGGAAATTTCAAATAAAAGTTAACACAGAGAATATTTTCAAACAGGGACGTCCGTAGATTCTGCGAACGTGATCAGTAACGATGCCAGCAAGGCTAACCACGACCATGGAGGCAAGAGCTTCAAGTTGCCCAAACACCTCCTGGACAGCACCCCGTCCCCTCTAGTGGAGCCTCCCCGCCGCCGGTTTCGGAGGGACCTCTCTCTCAGTGAGGACCGCATTCACATACACGGGAGACTCCGGATCATTCACGGAATAGACTGGAACCCGGACTTCCTGTACAGCAACACCTCGGCTTTCGTGTATTTGGAAGATAAAATCATCAATCTGGTAAGTTCCGATTGACAGACGAATAGCTGGTGAACGAGTGGGCAGATAAATGGGTGTGGCTACCTAGATGATGGGAGTGGGACCGGGGAGATGGGCCTTTGAATTTTTGGCCATTTTTTGGTTGAAAATTAACATGGAAGAATGGTTAGGGAATTCTATCATAAATGAAAATAATGGTAATTGTGTCAGATTTCCTAAATCACGATTAAACAGTGTGTTATTTAAGTTTTTATTCTCATTTCAGACACTCATTAATATGACGACAGAAAATATTAACTCGTAATAATTGAACATTTGTGTAAAGCGGCTTTCTTGCCTCCCACCATCCTCGATAATCTCCAGGGTATACGTTACGATCACTCTCCACTATGCACGGCTTGGCCCGATAATTATATGACCTCCCTTTGCTGGCTCCACATTCTCACAGTAGCCTATCAGCTAAGCCGCCGTTACATCCGAGCTTGCCATTGTCAACAAAGATAGAGGCCGCAGTCGCGAAGGTTTGTTCGCAGTGCCACTCATATCTTTTGGGAAATCATACAGACAAATTGACAGATCTGAAACTTTAAAAAAATATATATGAAAGAACTCCTTCTACCCCTTCAGAGTACCTCTGCATCGATTGTGTTGCCAAGTTTAAACGGTTAGATAATTTAAGAAGCGAAAGTGAGTATTGATTGGTTCGCTCAACTTCCCAGCGTAGACACCTGATTGGATATAAAGCCAGCCAAGGGAGGTAATAAAATCATCGGGCCAAGCCGTGGATGCATCCAGGGTATAGTGGAGAGTGATCGTAACGTATACCCTGGAGATTATCGAGGATGGCCTCCCACCGAGATCTGGCGTAACCTATTGTTATGTAAGGTCATTACTAAACATTCAAACCTGTGAACATCCAGGTTCGAATTGGTCTTCAGTAACCTATGCATGTCGGCGACTAACAGGATCGGGTGGTCAGGCTCGCTGACTTGGATGACATGTCGTATCGAATCTTTTGAAATATTGTCAGTCAACAGTATACTTATCTGGTAAATCTGTAGACAAGTAACTTCGGTATGTATAGTACATCGCACTAATTATACCAACATTGGTCCAGGCACTGGATTTTTTGCTTTCACGTTACTTAAAATAAACACATTTTCACTTTGAAATTTATTCTTGATATGGCGTTTTGAAACTTTATGAACCCTTAGAATAGTTTGAAATACGATTCCGCATATTTCAGTCCGATAACGACCAAAACTGTTTGTATGTATACTGCATGCAGCTGGTTATCATAACAATGGCACAGAGAGAAAAAATACCAAAATTCCTTGTTCGTTTTGCAATCCATTTTCAGTCAAACTCACGAACAATAACTTAATAATTTGTTTTCATAATCGATACCAGCTGGTTCTACTACAGTAGTTTCGGTGTGTATTTCCAGTATGTTATGAAAGTTCCACGTTGTTGGCATCAAGAGGAACTCACAGCGAACCTGCTGTTTCCGTGTAATTTGTCTCAGCACGTTTGCTTTCAGTCGTTTACAACTATCAAAATCGCCTCATTGAAAACAAGCGAAACAGTTTGTATGAAATTACTGACGGACCTCATGAATGAATACGTTATAATTCGCCTAAGATGTATTTGCATCTGAAGGAAAATATTTCCTTTTTCTTCAAAACGCGGGTGTAGGGTAATGCCAGCATTTGCACGGCAGGATTCCATCACCTTATATATATATTGCTGAATGAATTATAGGCTGCTCAAGTAGGTCTTATCCATGATGCACATACAGTGTAGCTGGTCCCAAGCTGCAAACTTGATAATTGGCTGCCAAGAATCCACTGACCGACCTTTTATGGTTGATTATTTATCTGTTTTCAGCTGAATTCAATACTAATGTCGAGCTCCCTGTCGGATAACTATCATGGAGCGGTCATTCAAGGATTCAGGTAAATGTCTTCAAACATTCACTATCACTGTTCACTTGCTACTTAATCGGGTATGTACAAGGCACGCCATGACTTCCAGATGACATATAATAGGTCATCTGCTAAACCAGTTTCATCAAACATTTGGCGTAAACACCGCGTTTTGGGACACTGGGCGTTTCGCATGCAAGGGAAATATCCTTTTCTTTGGAATAGAGTGCTGCGATGGAGTATGTAACTCACTGTGAGTCGTGTTCACCGTGAAGATCCGGGTAAGAATTGGTCTTCAGCAACCCATGTTAAACAACAAACTAAGAAACACATCCTAGTCAACGTGTGCTTATCAATGGTCTTCGTGAACACAACACATACTGCAACTGTTCAGATCTCTGGCCCTCCAGCCAATCTCCCCTGAAGGGGTGGTGGGGTAGCCCAGTGGTTAAAGCGTTCACTCGTCAAACCGAAGACCCGGGACCGATTCCCCATATGGGTGCAATGTGTGAAGCTCATTTCTAGTGCCCCCCGCGATACCGCTGCAATATTACTAAAAGCGGCGTAAAACTAAACATCACGTCGGGGGACACCAGCAGAATCTGAACCATATCGCGATAATCGTATCGCGAGACACTGTACCGGTATATACCGGTTTACCGGTAATATTGTACTAGTGTTTTGTATTTATATGTCTGTTTAGTTGTGTAGACACGAGTGTAACCATGCCACTCTCGTTTCAGAAAAGGCAGTGTGGAGGTGGACTTTACAATCGTGCTAAAAACGCCGAACACAACCAGCAACGGCACCAGTGACAATTCCACCACCGTCATCGACGGCAGCACCCTCACTGGCGTTTTCATGGATGCACTCAGCAATACGTCATCAAACTTCAGCGTAGAAACGAATCAGACAAATTTCTTTGGTCAGTAATCCTACACAACTCCTCTTACATATTACGACATCGTATAATAAAATCCAGGTTCAAATTGGTTTTCATGGTTTTATGTAACATTTTAAACTATCTTATATTTATAATATACACACGGAAAAAGGTATCGCAACATCTATGGTATTATCATGGTGTAATGCATCAGTTAACTCCTAGTGGGGATACGACGCTTTTCAGAATCACAAGACTTCATGTCACGTGGAAATCAGCATGGCTTCCACATCGTTGTTTGTCAAACGGACCGAAATCCGGGTATAAAGTCAAACGACCTATCAGACGTCGGTCGTTGTCCTCAGTGTACAAGGCAGCACCACGAGCTTCTTGTCAAGCTCGAAGTCACTGGAATTTAACGTCACTGGGAAGCGTCCACTTTTGTTCATGTCAGATGGCCGAGCTCTTGTTTGTTGCCGCAGAAACACTGCTCATGCACAACGGAATACTAGTAGGCTATCTTGGAGCAAGTCCGTTTCCGGGGGTTATTTGATGATGTGGGGGTTCCTCTCACGTGACTGTAAACCTGACCTTGTGACTGACTGACTGAGTTTGGTTTTTACGCCGCTTTTAGCAATATTCCAGCAACATCAAGGCGGGGGACACCAGAAATGGGCTTCACACATTGTACTCGTGGGGATTCGAACCCGGGTCTTCGGCGTGACGAACCAACGCTTTAACCACTATGGCTACCCCACCGCCCCTATTACCTGACCTTGTGACGATCAGATAAAACCTGAATAATAATGATAATGCTAATGCTGCTCTCTGGCGTTACATTATTACCCTGACGGAATTGTACTTTCAAAGCTGCTACTAAGCGCTTCGCGCGACCGTATAGGTCCGTACATCCGCTTCTCAGGTACCCATTTTGAACAGCTGGGTGGACTGAGTGCAATGTGGACGAAGTGCCTTGCCCATGGACACAACACAGTATGAGACCCAGGTCACAAATTTTGGTGTCTCCACCGGGATTCGAACCCGGGCCTTTGGCGTGAGAGGCCAGCATGCTAACCACTACACCCACTGTGCTCCACATGAATGGACAACGATACATCACTGACATCCTAAACATGTCGATGAGCATCCTATACGCAAGGCAAATCTAAATGGATGACAATGCTTGGTCACATCGTGGACGTGCTATTCGTGATTCCTACGTAAACACAATCTCAATCCCATACAGTATGTTGGGTCGCAGAATACGCCAGAGAGATCCTCCACTACAAAACCTAACCTAAGACTAAACCCTCCACCAAGAATGGAACGCAATACCTAACCGTACAATTCTTAACGTCCGATACAGTCAATGAGGAAGAGGTTCACATATGTTACTGCAGTGGGCGGAGGTTACGCCAGATATCGACATCGTACTCAGTTATTGATACTTAGGGACCGTTCATAATTGATGGCTGGGGTGGGTGGTGGTGGTGGTGGTGATCTATTTTTATGGAGAAGCATGTACAATGTGAATGACCCCCACCCCACCCCTAATATTCATGTACAAAATAAGTGACCCCCAAATCAATGACCCCCCTCCCCTTCCATTAATTTCTTAGCATAATTTTAAACATATTTTTATGTACAAAATTGCTGAACACCCCCCCACGTGTGTACAACACCGTTGTGTGACAAAGTTGCTCCCCAGAACAAAATGAGTGACCCCCTTAAATCATCATCACACCCCACCCCCACCCCCATCCCCGAGCCATACATTTTGAACGGTCCCTTATGTGATTTCTTGAGGATTGTGTGCCAGAATCTTGAAATGACCGCAAACGTGATAAGACCATAATTTTCAGCACAACAAAATGAGTCTTTTTCTGTGCCACGTTGGCTTCTATGAATAAACTGCAGTTTTCGTTCTCTCTGCGTTTAGATGTGCATTTACAATACTCCTTTATGGTCAGTTTATCCAGACAGTAAGTTACATTGAGGTTTCCATAAGTTCCTTTGCTGCGGTTAATGGTAACATACCATGAAAATATGGGACGTTGCGATACTTTTTTCTATGTGGATGCATTCCTGTATACGTCATCCCAATTGATTGGATAGTGCTGATTAGAGGTTTAATTTCCTACCACATACCTTATACCCAGAACACCTGTTGGTTGAAGCGAGAATGCGAGTTGTGTATACACAAAGAACTTTATTAAGCAGCCCGTGTATTTTTGCAATGATAGGTTTTGAACACGTACATCAAACTTCTCGTGGTGACCACCTGATGGAATCCCTATTGATTTTATGATGATAATTGCCACTCAAAGAAGTTGAAATTTCCCATCCTGTCTCAGAATGCGAGTTGTGTATACACAAAGAACTTTATTAAGCAGCCCGTGTATATTTTTGCAATGATAGGTTTTGAACACGTACATCAAACTTCTCGTGGTGACCACCTGATGGAATCCTATTGATTTTATGATGATAATTGCCACTCAAAGAAGTTGAAATTTCCCATCCTGTCTCTATATCGTCCGCTGGCGTCATTACGTTTATTATCATACTTTACTTACCGGTCTCATGTGTTCTCTGCTGATTCATTATTATGACGGAACCGATATCGATATTGGGAATTTTAAGTTATTTTCGGCATATCACTTACTTTTTTTCATGGTACATGATGTGTGTATCGACGACGGGGCCGAATGGTGAAACGTTGATTTTCATCTCTTTCACACAGTTGTTTGACAAATTTGTAGAAATTGTTTCCCGGTATTCATATATACATAAAGAACTTAATTAAGCACCATCCTTGTATATTTGCAATGTGTGTTTTCAACACGTACATAAAACCTCTCGTGGTGACCACGACGGAAAAACATGAGGTTTTCTGACCTGTATGATCCTTTGATTCATAAAAACCACAAAATGATTGGACTCCATATTGATTTTATGAAGATAATTGCTCATTTAAAAAAAACCCACTGATTTTCATACAAACCATGTCTGTATAAGTATGGCCCTGGAATGGCCCTGGGTGAATGTGAACATTCAAAATGTATTTTTGCGTGTCTTATGGCCAATACCGAGTGTAACCTCCATGGTCCATTCCTCGTGTCTACTCATCCTCATACCCCCTGTCAGCCTCCTGATCCTCAGAGGGTCCCTTCCTCGTGTAAAGCAGCTCCTCATACCCCCTGTCAGCCTCCTGATCCTCAGAGGGTCCATTCCTCGTGTAAAGCAGCTCCTCATACCCCCTGTCAGCCTTCTGATCCTCAGAGGGTCCATTCTTCGTGTAAAGCAGCTCCTCATGCCCCCTGTCAGCTTCCTGATCCTCAGAGGGTCCATTCCTCGTGTAAAGCAGCTCCTCATACCCCCTGTCAGCCTCCTGATCCTCAGAGGGTCCATTCCTCGTGTAAAGCAGCTCCTCATACCCCCTGTCAGCCTCCTGATCCTCAGAGGGTCCATTCCTCGTGTAAAGCAGCTTCCAATGCTCCAAAGTGTTAAGATTGGGGCTCATTCAGGGGCGGACACAGCTTTTTGATTAAGGGTGGGGTGTGTTTTCTTTTGTTGTGTTTTTTGGTGCACACTTCATAATCACGATAGTTTCAATTGTCATTGAATAAACTTTCATGACAAAAGGATGACCCCCCTCTGGACGTGATGCATTCTCATGGAGTTTGAAACCTTGATGTGGATGGGCAGTCTTAAAATCGCATTCCCACTAACGCTGTCGTCGTAGTGTATAGAATATCTGTACAGGGAGGGAGACAGACGAGGATGGTACTTGTTGTTACTCTGCCTGGCCTATAGGGGTATAATACAAAGCGTTCATGTATGACGTGTTTTATCCTTTGTGTTCACAGAAGTCGTGCTGGAATCAGGAGCAAGTATCATCGGCCAGACCGATTCTACAGAGACTCTGAGTTCTCTGATGTCCTCCTACCTTGAACTCACCACCCATGGCCAGTCCTCAGATGCCATGTCCTCACTGACCAGCTCATCAGAAGCAGTAAGCCTCATTACAAGTTCGCCAGTAAGTGACCTTTATTCTGATTCGGTTGTTGATAGCGCGCATAGCTCGTCAACAGAACCATCAAGCGCTGCACTGCCGACATCTGCTAGCTTGCTACCTCAACATTCCGCCGAGTCCATTGCTTCTTCATCTGATACATCAGGTCAAACTAACCTCATCACGCAACTGTCAGGTTCAGCTTCGTCATCTTCTTCTCCTGTCATCCTATCTACAGATGCTACTGCTGTGTTCTCCTCTGCAGCTTCTGATGCCACTTCTTCAGCAACTACTACAAGTTCGATATCACCCGAAGAGTCGACGGCTACCGATGTGTATGTGTCTTCGTCGATCGTAATGCAATCCTCTGCTGATTCCTCATCACTGTCAAGCGTAATGCCATCCTCTGCTGATTCCTCATCACTGTCAAGCGTAATGCCATCCTCAGTTGATCCGTCTGCTGATTCATCAACTGTAATGCCATCTTCAGTTGATTCGTCAAGTGTATTGTCATCTTCAAGCAAAACGTCTGTCGCTTCATCTACAATAATGCCATCTTCATCTGATCTGTCAACTCTAACATCAACTTCAGTTGATTCATCAGTTGCAACATTGTCTTCAGCTGATACGTCTACTGTAACGTCATCTTCAGCTGATACGTCTACTGTCACGTCATCTTCAGCTGATACGTCTACTGTAACGTCATCTTCAGCTGATACGTCTACTGTAACGTCATCTTCAGCTGATACGTCTACTGTCACGTCATCTCCAGCTGATACGTCTACTGTCACGTCATCTTCAGCTGATACGTCTACTGTAACGTCATCTTCAGCTGATACGTCTACTGTCACGTCATCTTCAGCTGATACGTCTACTGTCACGTCATCTTCAGCTGATACGTCTACTGTCACGTCATCTTCAGCTGATACGTCTACTGTCACGTCATCTTCAGCTGATACGTCTACTACTGTCACGTCATCTTCAGCTGATACGTCGTCTACTGTCACGTCATCTTCAGCTGATACGTCTACTGTGATACGTCTACGTCATCTTCAGCTGATACGTCTACTGTCAACGTCATCTTCAGCTGATACGTCTACTGTAACGTCATCTTCAGCTGATACGTCTACTGTAACGTCATCTTCAGCTGATACGTCTCTGTAACGTCAACGTCAGCTGATACGTTCAGCTGATGTCGTCTTCTGATACGTCTACTGTAACGTCATCTTCAGCTGATACGTCTACTGTAACGTCATCTTCAGCTGATACGTCTACTGTTACATCATCTTCAGCTGATACGTCTACTGTCACGTCATCTTCAGCTGATACGTCTACTGTCACGTCATCTTCAGCTGATACGTCTACTGTCACGTCATCTTCAGCTGATACGTCTACTGTCACGTCATCTTCAGCTGATACGTCTACTGTCACGTCATCTTCAGCTGATACGTCTACTGTCACGTCATCTTCTGATAGCTGATACGTCTCTTCAGCTGTCACTGTAACATCATCTTCAGCTGATACGTCTACTGTAACGTCATCTTCAGCTGATACGTCTACTGTTACATCATCTTCAGCTGATACGTCTACTGTCACGTCATCTTCAGCTGATACGTCTACTGTCACGTCATCTTCAGCTGATACGTCTACTGTCACGTCATCTTCAGCTGATACGTCTACTGTCACGTCATCTTCAGCTGATACGTCTACTGTTACGTCATCTTCAGCTGATACATCTACTGTCACGTCATCTTCAGCTGATACGTCTACTGTTACATCATCTTCAGCTGATACGTCTACTGTAACGTCATCTTCAGCTGATACGTCTACTGTAACGTCATCTTCAGCTGATACGTCTACTGTCACGTCATCTTCAGCTGATACGTCTACTGTAACGTCATCTTCAGCTGATACGTCTACTGTCACGTCATCTTCAGCTGATACGCCTACTGTCACGTCATCTTCAGCTGATACGTCTACTGTTACGTCATCTTCAGCTGATACGTCTACTGTCACGTCATCTTCAGCTGATACATCTACTGTCACGTCATCTTCAGCTGATACGTCTACTGTCACGTCATCTTCAGCTGATACGTCTACTGTAACGTCATCTTCAGCTGATACGTCTACTGTAACGTCATCTTCAGCTGATACGTCTACTGTAACTCTCATCTTCAGCTGATACATCTGCTGTCACGTCATCTTCAGCTGATACGCCTACTGTAACGTCATCTTCAGCTGATACGTCTACTGTTATCTCATCTTCCGCTGATACGTCTACTGTCACGTCATCTTCAGCTGATACGCCTACTGTAACGTCATCTTCAGCTGATACGTCTACTGTAACGTCATCTTCAGCTGATACATCTACTGTTATCTCATCTTCAGCTGATACATCTGCTGTCACATCATCTTCAGCTGATACGCCTACTGTAACGTCATCTTCAGCTGATACATCTACTGTTATCTCATCTTCCGCTGATACGTCTACTGTCACGTCATCTTCAGCTGATACGTCTACTGTAACGTCATCTTCAGCTGATACATCTACTGTTACCTCATCTTCAGCTGATACGTCTACTGTCACGTCATCTTCAGCTGATACGTCTACTGTCACGTCATCTTCAGCTGATACGTCTACTGTCACATCATCTTCAGCTGGTACGTCTACTGTTACCTCATCCTCAGCTGATACGTCTACCGCCTCAGAGGGTCCATTCCTCGTGTAAAGCAGCTCCTCATATACCCCCTGTCAGCCTCCTGATCCTCAGAGGGTCCATTCCTCGTGTAAAGCAGCTCCTCATACCCCCTGTCAGCCTCCTGATCCTCAGAGGGTCCATTCCTCGTGTAAGCAGCTCCTCATACCCCCTGTCAGCCTCCTGATCCTCAGAGGGTCCATTCCTCGTGTAAAGCAGCTCCTCATACCCCCTGTCAGCCTCCTGATCCTCAGAGGGTCAGAGGAAGCTCCTCCATATGCCCCTGTCAGCCTCCTGATCCTCAGAGGGTCCATTCCCCTGTAAAGCCTCTCCTCATGCCCCTGTCAGCCTCATGTTTTTTGTTGTGTTTTTTTGGTGCACACTTCATAATCACGAGAGTTTCAATGGTCATTTAATAAACTTTCATGACAAAAGGATGACCCCCCCTCTGGACGTGATGCATTCTCATGGAGTTTGAAACCTTGATGTGGATGGACAGTCTTAAAATCGCATTCCCACTAACGCTGCCGTCGTAGTGTATAGAGTATCTGTACAGGGAGGGAGACGGACGAGACTGGTACTTGTTGTTACTCTGCCTGGCCTATAGGGGTATAGTACAAAGCGTTCATGTATGACGTGTTCTATCCTTTGTGTTCACAGAAGTCGTGCTGGAATCAGGAGCAAGTATCATCGGCCAGACCGATTCTACAGAGACTCTGAGTTCTCTGATGTCCTCCTACCTTGAACTCACCACCCATGGCCAGTCCTCAGATGCCATGTCCTCACTGACCAGCTCATCAGAAGCAGTAAGCCTCATTACAAGTTCGCCAGTAAGTGACCTTTATTCTGATTCGGTTGTTGATAGCGCGCATAGCTCGTCAACAGAACCATCAAGCGCTGCACTGCCGACATCTGCTAGCTTGCTACCTCAACATTCCGCCGAGTCCATTGCTTCTTCATCTGATACATCAGGTCAAACTAACCTCATCACGCAACTGTCAGGTTCAGCTTCGTCATCTTCTTCTCCTGTCATCCTATCTACAGATGCTACTGCTGTGTTCTCCTCTGCAGCTTCTGATGCCACTTCTTCAGCAACTACTACAAGTTCGATATCACCCGAAGAGTCGACGGCTACTGATGTGTATGTGTCTTCGTCGATCGTAATGCAATCCTCTGCTGATTCCTCATCACTGTCAAGCGTAATGCCATCCTCTGCTGATTCCTCATCACTGTCAAGCGTAATGCCATCTTCTGCTGATTCCTCATCACTTCATCAACGTAATGCCATCTTCAGTTGATTCGTCAAGTGTATTGTCATCTTCAAGCAAAACGTCTGTCGCTTCATCTACAATAATGCCATCTTCATCTGATCTGTCAACTCTAACATCAACTTCAGTTGATTCATCAGTTGCAACATTGTCTTCAGCTGATACGTCTACTGTAACGTCATCTTCAGCTGATACGTCTGCTGTAACGTCATCTTCAGCTGATACGTCTACTGTCACGTCATCTCCAGCTGATACGTCTACTGTAACGTCATCTTCAGCCGATACATCTACTGTCACCACATCTTCAGCCGACACATCTACTGTCACGTCATCTTCAGCTGATACATCTACTGTTATCTCATCTTCCGCTGATACGTCTACTGTCACGTCATCTTCAGCTGATACGTCTACTGTCACGTCATCTTCAGCTGATACGTCTACTGTCACGTCATCTTCGGCTGATACGTCTACTGTAACGTCATCTTCAGCTGATACATCTACTGTAACGTCATCTTCAGCTGATACGTCTACTGTAACGTCATCTTCGGCTGATACGTCTACTGTCACGTCATCTTCAGCCGACACATCTACTGTCATGTCATCTTCAGCTGATACGTCTACTGTCACGTCATTTTCAGCTGATGCGTCTACTGTAACGTCATCTTCAGCTGATACGTCTAATGTCACATTATCTTCAGCTGATACGTCTACTGTAACGCCATCTTCAGCTGATACGTCTACTGTTACCTCATCCTCAGCTGATACATCTACTGTCACGTCATTTTCAGCTGATACGTCTACTGTAACGCCATCTTCAGCTGATACGTCTACTGTTGCCTCATCCTCAGCTGATACGTCTACTGTCGCGTCATCTTCAGCTGGTACATCTGCTGTAACGTCATCTTCCGCTGATACGTCTACTGTAACGTCATCTTCAGCTGATACCTCAGCTGTAACGTCATCTTCAGCTGATACATCTGCTGTAACGTCATCTTCCGCTGATACGTCTACTGTAACGTCATCTTCAGCTGATACCTCAGCTGTAACGTCATCTTCAGCTGATACGCCTACTGTCACGTCATCTTCAGCTGATACATCTGCTGTAACGTCATCTTCCGCTGATACATCTGCTGTAACGTCATCTTCAGCTGATACATCTACTGTAACGTCATCTTCAGCTGATACATCTGCTGTAACGTCATCTTCCGCTGATACGTCTACTGTAACGTCATCTTCAGCTGATACCTCAGCTGTAACGTCATCTTCAGCTGATACGCCTACTGTCACGTCATCTTCAGCTGATACGTCTACTGTTACATCATCCTCAGCTGATACATCTACTGTCACTTCATTTTCAGCTGATGCGTCTACTGTAACGTCATCTTCAGCTGATACGTCTACTGTCACATTATCTTCAGCTGATACGTCTACTGTAACGCCATCTTCAGCTGATACGTCTACTGTTGCCTCATCCTCAGCTGATACGTCTACTGTCGCGTCATCTTCAGCTGATACGTCTACTGTCACCTCATTTCCAGCTGACACATCTACTGTATCGTCATCTCCAGTCAATACGTCTACTGTAACGTCATCTTCAGCTGATACGTCTACTGTAACGTCATCTTCAGGTGATACGTCTACTGTCACATCATTTTCAGCTGACACATCAGCTGTCACGTCATCTTCGGCTCATACGTCTACTGTTACCTCATCCTCAGCTGATGCGTCTACTGTAACGTCATCTTCAGTATATACGTCTACTGTCACACTATCTTCAGCTGATGCGTCTACTGTCACGTCATCTTCAGTAGATACGTCTACTGTTACTTCAACTTCAGCTGATACATCTGCTGTCACGTCATCTTCAGCTGATACGCCTACTGTTACCTCATCTTCAGCTGATACATCTGCTGTCACGTCATCTTCAGCTGATACGCCTACTGTTACCTCATCTTCAGCTGATACATCTACTGTCACGTCATCTTCAGCTGATACATCTACTGTCACCTCATCTTCAGCTGATACGTCTACTGTCACGTCATCTTCAGCTGGTACGTCTACTGTAACGTCATCTTCAGCTGATACATCAACTGTCACGTCATCTTCAGCTGATGCGTCTTCTGTCACGTCATCTTCAGCTGATACGTCTCCTGTAACGTCATCGACAGCTGATACATCTACTGTAACGTCATCGTCAGTCGACACATCTACTGTAACGTCATCTCCAGCTGATACGTCTACTGTAACGTCATCTCCAGCTGATGCGTCTACTGTAACGTCATCGTCAGCCGACACATCTACTGTCACCTCATCTCCAGCTGATACGTCTACTGTAACGTCATCGTCAGTCGACACATCTACTGTAACGTCATCGTCAGCCGACACATCTACTGTCACCTCATCTCCAGCTGATACGTCTACTGTAACGTTATCGTCAGCCGACACATCTACTGTAACGTCATCTTCAGCTGATACGTCTACTGTAACGTCATCTTCAGCTGATACATCTACTGTCACGTCATCTTCAGCTGGTACGTCTACTGTAACGTCATCTTCAGCTGATACATCAACTGTCACGTCATCTTCAGCTGATGCGTCTTCTGTCACGTCATCTTCAGCTGATACGTCTCCTGTAACGTCATCGACAGCTGATACATCTACTGTAACGTCATCGTCAGCCGACACATCTACTGTAACGTCATCTTCAGCTGATACGTCTACTGTAACGTCATCGCCAGCCGACACATCTACTGTCACCTCATCTCCAGCTGATACGTCTACTGTAACGTCATCGTCAGCCGACACATCTACTGTCACGTCATCTTCAGCTGATGCGTCTTCTGTCACGTCATCTTCAGCTGATACGTCTCCTGTAACGTCATCTACAGCTGATACATCTACTGTAACGTCATCGTCAGCCGACACATCTACTGTAACGTCATCTCCAGCTGATACGTCTACTGTAACGTCATCGTCAGCCGACACATCTACTGTCAACGTCATCTCCAGCTGATACGTCTACTGTAACGTCATCGTCAGCCGACACATCTACTGTCACGTCATCTTCAGCTGATACGCCTACTGTTACCTCATCTTCAGCTGATACGTCAACTGTTACCTCATCCTCAGGTGATACATCTACTGTCACGTCATCTTCAGCTGCTGCGTCTACTGTCACGTCATCTTCTGCTGATACGTCTACTGTTACCTCATCTTCAGCTGATACGTCTAGTGTCACGTCTTCTTCAGCTGATACGTCTACTGTCACGTCATCTTCAGCTGATACGTCTCCTGTAACGTCATCGTCAGCCGACACATCTACTGTAACGTCATTGTCAGCTGATACGTCTACTGTAACATCATTGTCAGCTGATACGTCTACTGTAACGTCATCGTCAGCCGACACATCTACTGTAACGTCATCTCCAGCTGATACGTCTCCTGTAACGTCATCTCCAGCTGATACGTCTACTGTAACGTCATCTCCAGCTGATACGTCTACTGTCACGTCATCTTCAGCAGATACGTCTACTGTAACGTCATCGTCAGCCGACACATCTACTGTAACGTCATCTTCAGGTGATGTGTCTGCGAATTCATCTTCATCCACAGTTTCATTTAAATCTTCGTCAGCTGCTATTTCATCTGCTTCTCCTTCAACTGTGACATCAGCGTCAACTTTAACATCTGCTGTTTTCACCGAGCCCTCCACAACTATGATCTCATCTGATAATCTGTTACCTTCATCATCTGCCACCACAACTGAAACTGTGCCTTCTCCGCTCGAAGGTCTATCATCCACAGAATCCACACAGGTAACACGGGTCCAAACACTTGATTCATTCATTACTAACTTTTTGGAAACTATTGCAGAAACATCATTATCGTCATCATCATCTATAACTTCATCAATAACGTTGGTGCCACCAGCAGCCTCTATAGCTCCTACCCTTTTCAGCAGTGATGTCGGCAGTACCACCGAAGACATGACGTTAATGTCAACGCAGTTTATATCAACTTACCCTGAACATGTTTCAAAGGGAAGTAGTGACATAACGACGTCTGGTTCATTGTCACTGATTTCCAGTGCAGGGGATGGAACATCACATGGATTGTCAACCAGCTATGAAACTGCCGCCCAGACATCTGCATCAAGTGCTACAGACACAACTCCACTGTCTTCAGTGTCTGGGCCATCATCCAGTGCTCCCGTGTCAACTGTTGTGACATCAGAAGAGGCTTCGAGTTCACCCTCAGTAAAACTTGAGACATCGTCAGTGTTAATATCGCACAGCAGCACCAGTGTTTTGACTGAAGATAGCGGACAGTCCTCGGTATTGGTTGACACTTATGGACTACATGCTGAAAGTAGTTATGGTCTTGTATCAACATATTTACCCAGCTCTTCAACTGGTTCCAGTAGCAACTCACCAGTGGAATATACAACGAATGGAGTTTTAACTCGTATTGGTTATCCATCATCAAGTATAGAATCCCCAGATGACCATGCTACAGCGGAATCATCAACATTCACAGCACCAAATTCCCTAGTAGGGGAGTTCAACAATATTTGTCTCTAGTATGAGCAGTTCCAGTGATGATATTACAGCATCATCGAGTTCATCAGTGGAGCAGTTTAGTTCAACTCCATTAAGTACTGGTATGTCAAGCAGTGTGTATTCGCCAGTTTCACCCTCAACTCCAGAAACGGAAGGTGAGTCATCCGTTTCTTCAAACGTATTGGTGTCATCTCATCACTCAACACCTCAGCTGACTTCAACACCTATTCAGGCATTGACATCAAGTTATCTAATGATAGGAGGTAGTACTGGAATGTTTTCCGAAAATAGTATTTTTGAATTTACGTCCTCAAATGAACTGAGTTACTCAAGTGCAACACCGAGCAGTCCTCAGGAGGCAACAACCTCAACTATCACGGCAGTAGAAGCATCTTCATCCATGGTTAGCAGTGATGATAGAACATCGGAAGTGATTTCCACTTCATCGTTAATGTTAAGCAGCATGAATGA